TTATGATATATCCATGTTACAGGGTGAATATTATATTAGGAGAAGGATAGTCCCCCCCTCCCCCTCGTTATGATATATCCATGTTACAGGGTGAATATTATATTAGGAGGAGGATAGCCCCCCCCCGGTTATGATATATCCATGTTACAGGGTGAATATTATATTAGGAGGAGGATAGCCCCCCTCCCCCTGGTTATGATATATCCATGTTACAGGGTGGATATTATATTAGGAGGAGGATAGTCCGGGCTCTGTCTCCCCCTCCCTGCCCTCCAGGCGGCGGAAGTCTGGCTCTGTGTCTCCCCAAACATCCGCCATCCTCCAGGAGCTGAGAGCCCCGGGCCCCCGCCATGGCCGCCGTGCAGTGTGAGTAGAGCAGGTTCCCGGCCCCCAGCACCCCGGAATCTGAGTGTTCTATCAGCGGATACAATGTAACAATGCATGGAACGTTCAGCCAGCGGGCAGCTCCCGGCATGCACCCCGGCAGGGAGGGGGAGGGGGGCACATCACTGGGGACCCCCAGTATACCGTGTGTGCATTATCATAGGGACCCCCGATATACAGAGTGTGCATGGTGACCCCAATATACAGAGTGTGCATAATCATAGGGGCCCCCAATATACAGAGTGTGCATGGTGACCCCAATATACAGAGTGTGCATAATCATAGGGACCCCCAATATACAGAGTGTGCATGGTGACCCCAATATACAGAGTGTGCATAATCATAGGGACCCCCAATATACAGTGTGCATAATCATAGGGACCCCCAATATACAGTGTGTGCATGGTGACCCCCAATATACAGTGTGTGCATAATCATAGGGACCCCCAATATACAGAGTGTGCATAATCATAGGGACCCCCAATATACAGTGTGCATAATCATAGGGAACCCCAATATACAGTGTGTGCATGGTGACCCCCAATATACAGTGTGTGCATGGTGACCCCAATATACAGTGTGTGCATAATCATAGGGACCCCCAATATACAGTGTGTGCATAATCATATGGACCCCAATATACAGAGTGTGCATGGTGACCCCCAATATACCGTGTGTGCATAATCATAGGGACCCCCAATATACAGTGTGTGCATAATCATAAGGACCCCCAATATATAGTTTGTGCATGGTGACCCCCAATATACAGTGTGTGCATTATCATAGGGACCCCCAATATACAGAGTGTGCATGGTGACCCCCAATATACCGTGTGTGCATAATCATAGGGTCCCCCAATATACAGTGTGTGCATGGTGACCCCCAATATACAGTGTGTGCATGGTGACTCCAGTGTGCATGGTGACCTCCAAAATACAGTGTGCATTATGATGGTGACCCCCAATATACAGTGTGCTTTATTACAGGGACCCCCAATATACAGTGTGTAGGGTCATTACTGGGACCCGTTATACAGTGTGTGGGGTCATTACTGGGGACCCATTATACAATGTGTGGGGTAATTACTGGGGACCCATTATACAGTGTGTGGGGTCATTACTGGGACCCGTTATACAGTGTGTGGGGTCATTACTGGGGACCCATTATACAATGTGTGGGGTCATTACTGGGGACCCGTTATACAGTGTGTGGGGTCTTTACTGGGGACCCGTTATACAGTGCAGGGGGTCATTACTGGGGACCCGTTATACAATGTGTGTGGTCATTACTTGGGACCCTTTATACAGTGTGTGGGGTCATTACTGGGACCCATTATACAATGTGTGGGGTCATTACTGGGACCCTTTATACAGTGCGTGGGGTCATTACTGGGACCCGTTATACAGTGCGTGGGGTCATTACTGGGGACCCGTTATACAGTGTGTGGGGTCATTACTGGGACCCGTTAATACAATTAATATTAAGGTCGTTACTGGGACCGTTATACGGTCGCGTGGAAGGATTCATTGCTGGGACCCGTTATGCAGTATTGGGGTCATTACTGGGACCGTTATTACGGTCGTGGGGTCGTACTGGGACCCTTTATACGGTCGTGGGGTCGTGCTGGGACCGTTGTACGGTCGCGTGGGGTCATTGCAGGACCGGATTATACGATCGTGGGGTCGTACTGGGACCGTTATGCAGTCGATGGGTCGTTACTGGGGACCCGTTATACAGTGTGTGGGGTCATTACTGGGACCCGTTGTACAGTGCGTGGGGTCATTACTGGGACCCGTTATACAGTTTGTGGGGTCATTACTGGGACCCGTTATACAGTGTGTGGGGTCATTACAGGGACCCGTTATACAGTGTGTGGGGTGATTACTGGGGACCCGTTCTACAGTGTGTGGAGTCATTACTGGGGACCCGTTCTACAGTGTGTGGAGTCATTACTGGGACCCGTTATACAGTGCGTGGGGTCATTACTGGGACCCGTTATACAGTGCGTGGGGTCATTACTGGGACCCGTTATACAGTGCGTGGGGTCATTACTGGGACCCTTTATACTGGGACCCGTTATACAGTGTGTGGGGTCATTTCTGGGGACCCGTTATACAGTGTGTGGGGTCATTACTGGGGACCCGTTATACAGTGTGTGGGGTCATTACTGGGACCCGTTATACAGTGTGTGGGGTCATTGAGTTTCTGTCTGTGTAAGGGAAGCATGGGGTATTTCTGCATGTGTGTGTGTGTGTGTGTGTGTAGGGATTGTGTGTTTCTGCATGTTTGTGTAAGGGAAGCGTTGTGTGTTTCTGTGTTTGTGTAGGGATACATTGTGTGTGTGTGTGTGTGTAGGGATACATTGTGCGTTTCTGTTTGTGTGTGTGTGTGTGTGTGTGTGTATCCTTCTGATACAATTGAGGCAGTGTATAAATAATTCACACACTGCTGGTGTGTAGTTAGTGGCCAGTCCCATGCCTTATTACAGGATGTTTCTGAAAGTTTAATGTCAGCCCTGCACTATGAATGTTTCATATTCTGCTTTACGAAAGACCTAGCCACCACCAAATGGTGGGGGGAGGGAGCAGTGTACTATAGTGGGGGGGGACGGTGGACAGTGTGTTAATTTGGGGGTAGAGAGGTGGGGCAGTATATTAGAATGGTGGGGGTAGGGAGCAGTGTATTATGGGGGAGTGTGGGCTGTGTGTTATTTTGGGGGAGGGAGGGGCAGTATATTAGAGTGGTGTGAGGGGAGTCAGTGTATTAGGTGAGGGAAGGTAGTGTGTTAATTTGGGGGAGGGAGGGGCAGTATATTAGAGTGGTGTGAGGGGAGTCAGTGTATTAGGTGAGGGAAGGTAGTGTGTTAATTTGGGGGAGGGAGGGGCAGTATATTAGAGTGGTGTGAGGGGAGTCAGTGTATTAGGTGAGGGAAGGTAGTGTGTTAATTTGGGGGAGGGAGGGGCAGTATATTAGAGTGGTGTGAGGGGAGTCAGTGTATTAGGTGAGGGAAGGTAGTGTGTTAATTTGGGGGAGGGAGGGGCAGTATATTAGAGTGGTGAGGGAGTCAGTGTGTATTAGGTGAGGGGAAGGTAGTGTGTGTTAATGTAACTAGGGAGAGGGAGGGCAGTATATTAGGTGGTGGGGAGGGCAGAGTGTATTATGGGGGTGTGGGCTGTGTGTGTGTGGTGGGGAGAGGCGGCGGTATAATGTATTAGAATAAGGTGCCCAGGGGGAGGGAGCAGGTGTATTATGGGGGTGTGGGCTGTGTGTTAATGTAGCACTGGGGGAGAGAGGGCAGTATAATATTAGAGTGGTGTGAGGAGTAGCGGTATAATGGGTGGGGAAATTGGTATGGCCCATGCTGGGGGAGGGAGGCAGTATAACCAAGTGGTGGGGGAGGGAGCAGTGTATTAGGTGAGGGAAGGTAGTGTGGGGAGGAGGGCAGTGACATATTAGAGTGGGTGGGGGGAGAGGCAGTGTAGGTGAGGGTACTTGGTGTGTTTAGCTAGCCAGGGAGAGGGAGGGCAGTATAATGTGGTGGTAGGGGGGAGGGGAGCAGCAGTGTAGGTGAGGGAAGGTAGTGTGTTATTATGTGGGGGAGAGGAGGGAGGCAGTATTATATTAGAGTGGTGGGGGAGAGCAGTGTATTAGGTGAGGGAGGTAGTGTGTTAATGTGGGAGGGAGGAGGCAGTACTTATATTAGAGTGGTGGGGGGAGGCAGTGTATTAGGTGAGGGGAAGGTAGTGGGGCAGTATATTAGAATGGTGGGGGGAGGGAGCAGTGTATTATGGGGGAGTGTGGGCTGTGTGTTAATTTGGGGGAGGGAGGGGCAGTATATTAGAGTGGTGTGAGGGGAGTCAGTGTATTAGGTGAGGGAAGGTAGTGTGTTAATTTGGGGGAGGGAGGGGCAGTATATTAGAGTGGTGGGAGGAGAGGCAGTGTATTAGGGGGGAGTGTGGGCTGTGTGTTAATTTGGGCGTAGGGAGGGGGGAGTGTGTTAAACTGGGCAAAGGCAGTGGGAGTTCAGTGTATTAAATTAGGGGAGGGAGAAGTGTATTAGAGTGGTGGGAGGGAGAGGAGGCAATGTATTAAATGTGAGTGGTGGGAGGGGGCAGTGTAGAGTGGGCCGCGGGATACTGTGTATTAGAGTGGGGGGCGCAGTAAGTAACGAAGTTAAAGGGACACTATATTCACCAGAACAACTACGGCTTATTGAATTTGTTCTGGTGAGTAGAATCATTACCTTCAGGCTTTTTGCTGTAAACACTGTCTTTTCAGAGAAAATGTAGTGTTTACATTACAGCCTAGTGATAACATCACTGGCCACTCCTCAGATGGCTGGTAGAGATCCTTCCTGGGTCATGACTGCCTAAAATGCATCCAAACATTCAGTATATCCTCCCTCTGCATGCAGACACTGAACTTTCCTCATAGAGATTCATTGATTCAATGTATCTCTATGAGGAGATGCTGATTGGCCAGGGCTGTGTTAGAATCATGCTGGATCTGCCTCTTTGTCAGTCTCAGCCAATCCTATGGGGAAGCATTGTGATTGGATCAGGCTACCACTTCTGATGATGTCAGCAGACTGGTTGTTTTTCTGAGTCTAACAGCATGCAGAGTTACAGCTTCAGGCTTGAATACAATAAGATTTTTACTATATTTATGGAGGCATGAAGGGCTCTGGGGGGCTAGATGGTGGTGTTAACACTATAGGCTCAGGAATACATGTTTGTGTTCCTGACCCTATAGTGATCTTTTTGAGTAAATTATATATCTGTTCCCAGGATTACAAATTGTTTGCATGCGAATGATACAGGTAATTTTAGTTTGTGTTAGTCTGGGTCAAACTGTTTTTTTTGTTATTTGTTTTTTTGCGGCCAACATAAACTTAAACCTTGTTTATTTGGTCTGTGTTAGCCTTTGAGTTTGACATGCTTGCTGTACATTAAGCTGTAGTTGTTCAGGTGATTATCATTTCCCTTTAGGTACAAAGTGGAAGGATTTTGATTGTACTGTGCCCACTACTTCGTATCCCTAGATTTGTGATTCTAACCTAAATTTAAGTAGTAACATATCCATAGCAGGGGAGCTTCTAAGGGGAGGAGGGGTGATTGAAATCCCTGATATGTTCTTTCTCTTCAGCTCCTGCTAGTTGAAGCCACTGGGGCCACATGTGTAAATGTACAACTCAAAGATCCAATGGATGGGTCCCAATACACATATAGAAACTGAACCGCTATCTTTTTGTCTCTTTTTGGACCATTGAATGTAGATTGTAAGCTCTTTTGAGCAAGGACCTCTTGTTGTTGTTAATTATCCCCATTTTATAATTGTAAGGTGCTGCCGTATATGTTGACGCTATATAAATAATAATAATAATGTATGTTTAACATTTCTTGTTCTCTTTTGTGTGTAGTTCCTGGAGGTACGACTGTCCTTTTAGAGATCAGTGCCGACATCCACATCTGTGGCCTCTGCAAGCAGCAGTTTAACAATTTGGATGCATTTGTTGCTCACAAACAACGTGGCTGTCAGCTCTCCAATGCAGCCACGGGAGCCGCCAGCAGTGTTCAATTTGTCTCCGAGGACACCCCACCACCAGTATCCACCGTTAATCGAACCATTACATCAGAGACTCAGACCATCACCGGTAAATCTGGTCTCCCATTTACAGCTTTGCACCGAGACAAACTTTTAAATAAACTAACCAATAAATTGAAAGATTCCGAGGAAGGATTTGGTTGGCATTACATGGAATGGTGACCCAGCTGAAGTGGTAGAGGTTGATCTGTACTTTCCTTTTTCTGTTCTCTAGTCTCTGCTCCAGAATTTGTTTTCGAGCACGGATATCAAACCTTTTTGCCGAGTGAAGGTTCAGAGGCTCAGGGTACGAGCGCAGTCACAATAGCTACAAAATGTCATTCCCGGAAGATCCCCGTCCCACGCTCGCAGAGGAAGCAGAGCTGCAGCTACGAAGGTGAAGGAAGGGGAATACATGGTTAACTTATCTTTTTCTTTTGTTTGTTTGTTTTTTCTCCACAAGGTATTTTTTACTTTTAATTATAAATTCAAATAAAATAAAAAAATTTAAATAATCAGCACGTGTCCCCGACAATGGGCCGACGTTGTCAGAGACGATTCCATCTGCAGGAGACCTCTTACAGCCACAGTAGTGAAATACTCGATCTTATAGGAAATGTGGACAAGATAATCGGTTGCTGTTCTCTCTATTGATCGGCACCTAAAATTAATCTGCTAATTGCAGAAGTGAGGATTTTCTTTTTTTTTTGGACTATTTATTTATTTAAATTTTTCTGTGGCCCACGCACACCTGTATGATTTAACAGAAAACCATTGAAGCTGCCTTAAAATGACTTGTACCTCGACGTGCAAAGCCACATATATGGTCGAATGGTGTGTTTATTAATTCATTTATTCTAGTGAAGCAGAACTAGATTAAAATAGCTACTAAGTTAGATAAGAAGCTGCATATCTTTCTTGTTTTAGCTATGCATGAATAGTACCTAACTTAATTGTTAAGTTCATTTTTTTGGGGGGGGAGGGAGATGCCATCTGAGAAAATATCTTTGATGTATATTAATTTCCTGTTGTGTTATTCTCTAGAGCAGCGGTTCCCAAACTGACGTGCACACATGGGTTCCGGGGAAACATTACTGATCAACAGGGACCTGGTCGAGTGCCGCGGTCCTTTAAGGCAGCGACCGGGCCCCTGTAATGTCCGCCGGCAGGGAGGAAGTGACAGCCTGTGTGTATGTGTCGGTGTATTTATATGCATCTGTGTGTTAATGTGCATGAATATCTGTGTAAGTATGTATGTATGTGCATACATCCAAGCAGTCAAACACCAGCACAACATACAAGCACACTCTTGCAATCGAACTCAAATACTACATACAAACACACCCCTTCACTCAAACACAAATACTTCACAAAAATGTACATCTGCATTTAAAAGTGAACATTACATTCAGACACACCGCTGCAATCAAACGCAAACATCACATACAAACACACCCCTGTATTAAAACACAATAACTGTATACAAGCACCCCTTCAAACATCAACACTGTACATTAAACTATAGCGCCAGTAAATGCCGCAGCGCTGTACAGATATACAACCGAGAAATTTTGACTTGGGGTGCCTTGGAAAACTACTGAAATATTAAGGGCGCCTTGAACCTAAAAAGTTTGGGAACCACTGAGCTAGAGCATAATTTCTTAACCCACTGGGTCAGGACCCTTAACTAGGATCTCAATGTATTTTAGTGGGTTCCTCCCTTTGATTGAAACATTCCTCAGACGCCAGGTACCTCCCCATTGGACTGTTTACTGTAGTTTTTCCCAGTACGGTAGCGAAAGCTCTGATACTGGAAAGAGTTTAATGAAGGTATTTTGCTGAATTTACCTCCGTATATCATATCTGTTATTGTAGAATGGGTCGCTGGGGTTATATTCTAATGAAGAATGCCAAGATAAATCAGGGATTCTACAGAAAGACTGATTCTTTCCACCTAAAATGACACAAACGAGATCTTAAATTATTTTCACAAAATTGTCTTCAGCAGCTGGCATGCAAATGCAAAGGCTTCATTTTTACTTTCTGCTTTAGAACAATTGGAAAAAGAAATAAAATGATTTTTGTTTTTCTGCTAGGTTGTCCCTTCAAGACTGCGTACGGCATGAAAGACATGGAGCGCCATCTAAGGACGCACACAGGTAACTTTGCGTTTAGATACAATGTATTTTGTTCACTTCCACATGGACTGTTTGTGTTAGACTCCAGCATAATCCTGTGTCTTTTTTGTTTTGTTTTTCCCAAACTGCTCACACATATTCTTCATAAACCTTCTATATGTTCAGGTGACAAACCTCACAAGTGTGAGACGTGTGGGAAGTGTTTCAGCCGGAAAGACAAGCTAAAGACACACATGCGATCTCACACAGGAGAAAAACCATACAAGTGTAAAGAATGCGACTACTGTGCAGCCGACAGCAGCAGTCTGTGTAAGCACCAGCGCATCCACACCAACGAACGTCCTTTCAAGTGTCAGATCTGCCCCTACGCGAGCCGGAACTCCAGCCAGCTTACAGTGCACCTGCGCTCCCACACAGGTAAGTCCTGCCAGTCCCATTCTCTGCACCAGAGGGTTAGAGTTGATTATCATAACTTTCTCCGTTTTTGCATCTCTGAGTGTAAATAGAGTATCCATTCAGTAATGGACCGAACGGTCTTATGAGATCTTACATTTTTTGAGGCCCCTGTTGCGAATTGTAGCTGTTGGGCTAAAACGCCCATCACGGTCAACCTATGCTCCTCTGCATGTTTTAGGAGCTGCCTTGTAGTAGCTGGAGTCGGACGGCTACATTTGGACACATCTGTAACTGTCCAGCTATTGCGGTCTGTGACTGTCCAGCTACTGCTATCTGTAACTGTCTAGCTATTGCTAACTGTAACTGTCCAGCTATTGCAATCTGTAACTGTCCAGCTATTGCAATCTGTAACTGTCCAGCTATTGCAGTCTGTGACTGTCCAGCTATTGCAGTCTGTGACTGTCCAGCTATTTGCTATCTGTGACTGTCCAGCTATTGCTGCCTGTGACTGTCCAGCTATTGCTGCCTGTGACTGTCCAACTGTTGCTGCCTGTGACTGTCCAGCTATTGCTGTCTGTGACTGTCCAGCTATTGCTGTCTGTGACTGTCCAGCTATTGCTGCCTGTGACTGTCCAGCTATTGCTGCCTGTGACTGTCCAGCTATTGCTGCCTGTGACTGTCCAGCTATTGCTGCCTGTGACTGTCCAGCTATTGCTATCTGTGACTATCCAGCTATTGCCGCCTGTGACTGTCCAGCTGTTGCCGTCTGTGACTGTCCAGCTGTTGCCGCCTGTGACTGTCCAGCTGTTGCCGCCTGTGACTGTCCAGCTGTTGCCGCCTGTGACTGTCCAGCTGTTGCCGCCTGTGACTGTCCAGCTGTTGCCGCCTGTGACTGTCCAGCTGTTGCCGTCTGTGACTGTCCAGCTATTGCCATCTGTGGCTGTCCAGCTATTTGTGTCCCATTATTCTCTGCAACCTAATCAAAAGTGAAATTTATCCAGGTTATTGTTGCTAATGTAGAATGTACTGGAGTTTGTTGCAAAGCTCTTACTACGCAGCCATGACCTTGTTTTGGGAGGCCTAACATAAACATTTTGAGTTCTGCACAATAAAAACCCCACACATTGTTTGTTAAACTGCTATTAAATAGCCGGGCGATAGTGAGTCTCCAAAGGGAGTCGCTTCAACAAATTGCTGCTTTACTTTCTTCCTCTAACCCGTGTGAAGAGGTCAATAATCAAGACTCACGATTTCCACCTGCCCACCAGCCGTTGGTTAGTGCGCCATGGACCACCGTTCCCACTCCGTCGCTGATTATTTCATCCTCTGTTTCAAAGCAGCAATGTTACAGATGAGCTACAGGCTTATATGAGAGAGACATTGAGAAAGACTTATTTAGAATTGAAACGGGTCTGTTCTCTGCTTACAGGACTACATACTTTCCCATACGGAATTTTTAAAATATATTGTTTTTATACTTGTCCTTTTGCCAATAAATCTATTTTATCGATTCCTTTTGCTGCTGAAGTCAGTCCTATTGCAGACCCTACATTGTGAGCTATCCACAGGTTTTCTCCACTTACCCTAAGGGCACCATTGGGCCTTTTTTACAGAGCCTGGCTCTGGCTCTGTAATCTGTGAGTGCAACCATTGTTTAATACAGTACTTTTCTTTGTACATACAGTGTACACTATGTGTTACATATGTTTGTTTCCATAGGCTTTACATCTGCAATTGTCCAGAACTTGCAATATTTTGGCTTAGAAGTATTTTTAGTTATTTAAGACACACATTAGGGTGTATGTTACATTGTGATTCATTACTCTGGGCTTTTTTATGTTATATGAGAGGGAGATCACAAGTAAGGGCTCAATTTAATATCTTTGGTAAGATTGGAAACTGATTTTGATACTGAATGCTCTGTGATTGCATGTGCTGCTTCCCTGTCCATACCTGGAGCTCTGCCATTGTAGGAGAATTGTGGTGACTGGTAACTTTTAGACCTGTCTTTGTAGCATAGGAATTAGATTTTGAAGCTTGCAATAACTGCACAGGGGCCAAGCAATTTGCGACTCTCAGCTGCCTCACTGCAAGGGTTAAGTTGCTATGGTTATGCTGCATAATAAGGGCTATAGGATCTCTTTGACTTTGACTGTCAGACTCCAAAGAGATTATATTTATGTAAATTTCTTTCCTATAATAAAAACCAAAGAAAAGAAAGTTACCTGCGCTCTCTCCTTAATCCCTATGTATATTTAAACAAATGGAGGTCATTTAGTTGCTCCAATGGCCATTGTCTCATTAGAGATATCTTTGCCAGAAGCTCAAGGAAGCAGGCTGAAGGGTCAGTGTTAGGACCCGCTTTAGGGGGGTCTGCCTTGACGTGGGAAGGCGGGCATTCCCTCCAATGGCCATTGGAGCAACTAAATGACCTCCATTTTGTCTAAATATACATAGGGATTAAGGAGAGAGCGCAGGTAACTTTTTTTTTTCTTTGGTTTTTACTATAAATTGGGGCTGATGTGTACTGTAGTCATTGCTGCTGGCCCAGTAGTGATGGGAGTGAGCGCAGGACTCATCTTTTTGTATTTCTTTCTTTCCTATAATGTTTTGTCCTCTTGAGTGCTATTAAGCACCAGATGAACCATCGTGGGAAGAAATTGCAGTTATAACTTGATATTATTTACCATATCCTGATACCTTTTACCAAATACGCGCCTTGGGACTGTGGGGCTTATATATCACGGCAAAAAAAAAAAAAAATTCAATCTGTTAAATCTAAAGTCCCCCTGATGTCTAAATTCTCAGCAATTAGAAGTTTAGCCATAGTCAGTTTCACTTACAAAAAGTTCTGTTGCGTGCACTTTGTTGCCAGCAGGTGGCACTGTGCTGACTGGCTAAAGGATCTAAATAGCCTGGATGAGTGATAACGAGCAGATAGACATTGGATACTGTCAGCATTTCTTAATTATTTTTTCCCCCTATAATTTCAAATCTGACATTTGTGAAGTGAGACTAACAAATGGGAATGGGGGTCGGGGTACTGGATGCTCACATTTTCTAAGTAATGTATTAAAAATCCACAGCATTATCAGGTGTCCTGCCTGCTGTTTGCGTTACCCTGACTAGGACGTGTCTGACACCTCAACGTCTATCTTTATTTTCCTACTTGTTTTCTTCGAAAGTGCTGAGCATAGTCTCGGTGCTTCGGCTTCGATCTGGGCATTTGAATGTCACTGTTATATAAACTAGGACGCGTGTGACCCTGTGAAAATAAGTCAAACTGACACTGTGAAATGGCAGGGTTTCAGCACAATCCGCTCTTTAAAATAACGTAAATCGGATAATCAATAATGATTATAGTGTGGTCCTCCTTTTTTGTATTGTTCTTTAATTTGTTTGTGCATAGGGTTAGTATCTGTGTGGATCCTAAACATACAGACCTATTACATCACAAAGAGGCTTTCTGTGTAGCGGTCCTTATAGTGGCCGGACTAACGTAGAGGATAAACGACTAAACAAACCAAGGTCAAAAGAGTACAGAGAACAGGAGAAACGTATGAACAGGAAAAATCAGATACCAGGAAAAGGATACGCGAGTTTTAGTCTTAAATTAGAGAGGCAAAGGTTTAAAAATAATATCAGGAAGTATTACTTTACTGAGAGGGTAGTGGATGCATGGAATAGCCTTCCAGCTGAAGTGGTAGAGGTTAACACAGTAAAGGAGTTTAAGCATGCGTGGGATAGGCATAAGGCTATCCTAACTATAAGATAAGGCCAGGGACTAATGAAAGTATTTTAACATATTGGGCAGACTAGATGGGCCGAATGGTTCTTATCTGCTGTCACATTCTATGTTTTTATGTTAATTATGCACTAAATTCGGTCCAGCGAAATCGCCATTTGGACCCAAATTCAGTTACCCATAAAACCCGCACCGTGCGAGTCTGCAGCATCGCAGAGAATGCCGGGGGACCCAGGTAAGGCAGACACAACCCTGACAGAGTGTGCATTTAACTTAAAAATAACAAATGCTGATGGAGAGCTCGATATGCTTACTAAGGATTTTAGTTCCACTAAGTGTGATATTTCTGTGCGCAAGTTACATCTTTATTTACAAAGGTCAAAAATTCATGATATGAGCAGAATACATAGAAAGTAAAAATCTGTTTTTGGTTGTTTTTATTTTTTTCTTCCTGTTTTTGTTTTGTTTTTTTCAATATAATGCGAGGCAACAAATTGCTCTCCTACTGCTATTTTAATTAAAATACTCTTAACGTACTGCAGAGATTGTATAAACTGAGTGCTGAAATCATTTTGGAAACTGCGTTTCATGCTGCGAGGTTAAGATTATATTGTGCTGAAAAAATGAAGAATGTGTAAACTGAAGTGACTTCCTGCCAGAATCGCTCTGTAATTCCACGTTCGTGAAGGCTGAATGTGTTCATTGCAGTTATGGTTTCCTGTTTTATCTTCTATATTTCCTTCTTTAACGTTATTCAGTCTATTAATAGGTGTCTATTCTGTGCCCTCTGTAGTTGACGCATTGTGGTTTTTTTCGGTTTCGTGGTCTTTGCGCAGTGCTGCTCACTGCCTCCGATTTATAGCTAAATCCATTTACATTTCTAAATATGTGTATCTAACTTTACTGAGCAGACTTTCTCATCTCATTCTGCTGACCGATAAGAAATAAAGGTTATTCTTTAAATTGTGGCAAGACAAAAAAAAAATAATAGCATATTTTAGATCTAAATTACAAAAAAAAAAGTCAGCATGGACGTTATAATGTAATAAATAATGGATAATACGTGTATACAGAATAATATATATATTACATACTTCTCCTCGTTCCTTCTCCACATATTAATGCACTTTCACATTCCCTTATTTCTCTTTTCCTCACCTTTAGATACGTTTCCTGTCTCTTTTCACGTACCTTCTTCACTTCTTTTTAACAGTCATTTATTGATTTATTCTTTTGCAATCCTTGTAGTCTTTCATCTTTTTATTCCTATAGTTTTCTACACCATTTTTATATATCTCATTTTTCTACAAACTCGCAATACTAGGAACGTGTATGATAATTCAGATTGTCAGTATTAATTCATTGTAAATAGGAGGAAAGAGAAAGGGGTTTAGAAGGACCTGAGGTAGCCAGCAATCCCCCTGTTTGTGTCTCCTGAATTTAGTGACGAGGTTCTTCGTAGTGTAACCATATAGAAATTGCATTGTTCTACTTTGTCTCAGTGTATCTTTAATGTTGCCGGATCGCCATTCCATTGGGCTCTTTGCCCCATATTCTATGTGCCACAATAACTCTGACTGTTGGAATGTCAAGTGTTATGATACCTTTATGCTTTTCAATTGGTAATGAGTGATGGATCCACTTTTTCCATCCTTGTTTGTCTATTAATTTCTAGCTCTGATAATTATATAATCTGCATGTTTAACTTTTACTTTAACACTTTATCATTTTTATTCCAGGCGATGCACCTTTCCAATGTATCCTCTGTAACGCCAAGTTCAAAATCAACTCTGATTTGAAGAGGCATATGCGCGTCCATACTGGGGAAAAGCCCTACAGATGTGACTTTTGTGACTTTTTCTGTGCCATGAAAGGGAATTTGAAATCCCACATAAAGATGAAACACAATGCTGACACCACTTATAAGTGTGCGGAGTGCGATTTCCAGTGTGGGAGTAAAGCCGATTTGCGACAGCATTTACGATCCCATCTACCGGAACAGCCAGTGAAGTGTCCGGAATGCACCTACTCTTGTGCTAACAAGGCCGCTCTGAAAGTCCACGAAAGAATTCACTCCAAGGATCGCCCCTTCAAATGCCATTTCTGTCGTTTTGATACAAAGCAGCGAAGCAACCTGACCACACACATCAAAAAATGTCACAATGAAGAAGTAAAATCTAAGAAGGTCGATTTGTCCAAGAGAGAAGAAGGCCTACCACGGCCATATAAGCCGCGCAAGAGTAATAAAGTAGAAGCAAAAAAAGCTTTTAAATGCGATCTTTGTGACGCATCCTTTGTTAGAGAAGACTCTCTCCGGAGTCATAAGAAACAACACAACACATTTATACTCCAGAAGCCATCAGAAATCTCTGTGGTTCAGATTCCAACGGAAGGTCCAAGGCAAGCCAATAACAGACAGCTCAAGGTTCCTCTTAGGGACACTGAAGTTTTGCCATTCAGTGACCAAAGAGTAAAAATTATGGTTCAAGGGTCAGAAAAGAACGATGTAGAGACTTCACCTGTATCTTGTAACATGATCGCAAACCTTTCAAAGCATGTTGCCAGCAACCAACTTGAGATGTTGAGTCAGGTCAACTTAATGGCATCGCCACAAGCAATGAGATCTCCGGGGCCCACTCCTCACACAGTTCTCCCTAGTACTCCTGATCACAATTGCAGTACTGATCTACATGAGGAGATCATATCTAATGGAACTGTGGATGGTCAGGATTCTCCGGACCATGTAACATTCATCTCCAGCACAGGCATGACATGCACGGACTTTGAAGCTATAATCCAAGAGGAGACCACAGAAGTGACTGTAATTAGTGAAGATGGGGACACTGGCGGAGAGTCTGCACAATCTTCTCCAATCTTTTCATCGTCCCCTCAACCTGATGCATCAAAGCAAAATTACAACCTTGACCAGAGTGAAGCAGATTCTGCTATTCTGTGTCCAGCAGACTGTATTCCAGACTGACCTTATTGGACAATTGAGCCTGTTAAAAATGATTATGGATAAAACCAATATGGCAGACACTTTCTGGGTTTCAAAGCCACTGCACAGCCCGTTACCTCCTAGTAATGGGCCCTGTTAAAGTGTAGTCTGTCGAAAAAGCCAAGCACTTTATTACTTATATACTTTGACATTTAGAATTTGTGAAAAATGGTCTTGTAACTTATATGTTAATTATAAGTTTTTGGTTGTTTAAAGCACTTTGCTGTTGACAGAAAATTTAAAGTGACTGCTTTCAATATAAGCTGTTTTTTTTTTTTTTTTTTTTTAAATCTAAAAGCTCTTATTTGCCTCAACATACAGCAGTGTTTTGTTTTTGGTTAAAAAAGAAAAGTTATATTATATACAAAATAGTCAACGCATGTTCTTTCTGGGTACCCTTTTATGAGGATCACGCAAGTTAGGGCTGTAAAAGTGCCCAAATAGAATTCTCCGCTTACAGGTTTTTTTTTTTTTCCCCTAAAAATTGGAGGGATTGGCAATAAATCTTAACATTTTATTTTGTTTGTTTGTAAGATAGTGTTCTCCTTTGCAGGGTATTAACATGTAAACTCCATTTTAGAGGATGTGACCCTAAAACAATTCTCGTTCTGGCTCATTTAATCTGCAGCACAGAGATTGTCCATTAAGCAGTAATTATATCTGTATATCACGTTGCAAGTCGGTGTCCTTCACTTTCAAAGACTGAGCTGTGAGAGCACAGAGCTTGCAGCACAGCTCCCCCTACTGAAGGAGAATTAAACTACAATTTTGCATCGTTTGGGGAATTTCATAGTTTGTACATAGATTTTCCTGTGAGATATCTTTGGAAAATTTTGAATTTGAACAATCGAGGTTTAAAACAAGAAAAATGTGAGGTAATTAAACTTAAAAAAAAAAAAAAGACAAATTGATATCAACACTACCACTACAATGAGTTTAGCGCCTAACTATATTACCCTCTTCTTTATCGTTTCTCGTTCTAGTAATATATGGTTTAGCCTTCTCTGTTTTGGAAGCAGTTAGATTTATTCATTAACCTGGGAATTTTGAAAACTTTAGCTATTTTTCCAGTTCGAAAATGTTAGTCTAAGTTGGAGAGTTCTTACACTTTGGGTGCTTTTTACCTAAATTTCAGTTCCAACCTGTGGGTTCTACAAATAAAACAGTGTACAAGAGGATATCGAGAACGGACAACAACTCAGGTAATCTGCTCTTCGGTGGGTCCCCGCTCAAATCTCAAGCTGGTTTTAGCTCATCTTGGGCCATTACAAAGAGAACCTAAACCGTTTGCAGTTCAGACTGATCCCACCCAAAGTGGTGGCACAAATCCAAAAGCAAGCTGTCCGTCTCTGCACGAGAGATACAGCAATCACAGATGATTGTTTTATACTTTTTGGGCCGTCAGTTAAGTATAGCCAATACTTGGACATCAGCTGGTTTTAGCTCACCTTTTGCCATTACAGAGAGAACTTGTCGGTTTCTACAATTCCCATTTTATTTTCTGACACTACTAATCTCCATGCGGCTTAATAACAGAGAATAACAGAGAATTGAGCAGCGAGACTACAGGGGCATGATCAATGCACCAAAACTGCTCAATTAAGATAAAGATGTTTTGTGACTATGTCTCGTTAAGGCCAAAATAAATCAGCAAAAATTCTTGCAGTCCGTTATGCTTCCTGTTTTACTCCTCTGGCCGTAAATATGAAATTATCACTTTATTTAATATCCCTCTAAGTGTGTAATTGTCTTTATTTTTTTATTCACTAAAAATGTGTATACAGTGATCAAACATTATTTATGAAACGGGGGTGTTCGTTAATGAAGACCAGGAAAAGGCAGGAATTTTAAATAACTATTTCTCCTCCGTATATATTAAGGAAGAACCCATGGCAATAGATGTGCAAATGATTGCTACTAAAATCTTGCAGAATAATTGTAATTGGTTAACTCAAGACAAGGTGCTGCAGCAACTAAAGAAAGTTAATATAAACAAAGCTCCAGGGCCTGACGGTATCCATCCACGTGTACTTTAGGAACTAAGTGCAGAAATAAGTGAACCTCTGTTTTTAATCTTTCAAGAGTCTTTTCTTTCAGGAAGTGTTCCGGAGGATTGGAGAAAGGTGGATGTGGTTCCTATATTCAAAAAGGGTTCAAAATCCTTGCCTGGAAATTATAGACCTGTGAGCTTAACTTCTGTGGGTGGGAAAATATTTGGTTTTATGAAGCACAGGTCATGTCAAACTAACTTGATTGCGTTCTACGAAGAAGTAAGTAGAAGTATAGATCAGGGTGTTGCAGTGGATGTGATCTATTTGGATTTTGCCAGGGCATTTGATACAGTTCCACACAATAGATTAGTGTTCAAACTCAAAGAAATCGGTCTAGATGAAAATGCTTGTTCTTGGGTAGAACATTGGCTTAAAAACAGAGAACAAAGAGTTGTCATTAATGGTAAATGTCAAGCTGGACAGAGGTGGCAAGTGGTGTCCCTCATGGGTCTGTTCTGAGACCCCTTCTATTTAACATGTTTATAAATGATCTTGAAGACCGCATTGAAAGTCATGTTTCAGTGTTTGCAGATGACACAAAACTTTGTAAAACAATACAATGTGAGCAAGATATTACTTTGCTGCAGAGGGATTTAGATAGACTGGGGACTGGGCACTCAAATGGCAGATGAAATTTAATGTTGAAAAATGCAAAGTTATGCACTTCGCCGTAAAGAATACACAAGCAACGTATACCCTTAATGGAAGCGAATTAGGGATAACAACACATGAAAAGGACTTGGGAATTGTTATAGACAACAAACTATGCAACAATGTGCAAATGTCAATCAGCAGTGGCCAAGGCCAGTAAGGTATTGTCATGCATGAAAAAGGGCATTCATTCTCGGGACAAGAATATAATTTTGCCTCTTTATAAATCACTGGTAAGACCTCATATTGAATATGCTGTGCAATTTTGGGCACCTGTTCTAAAGAAGGATATTATGGCACTAGAAAAAGTGCAGAGGCGGGCTACAAAATTAATAAAAGAAATGTAACATATCAGCTATGAAGAAAGGTTAACAAATTCAAACCTATTTAGTTTAGAAAAACGTTGCCTGAGAGGGAATATGATAATATTATACAAATATATGAGGGGCCAATACAAACCATTGTGTGGAAATCTATTCACAAACCAGACTTTACATAGGACACGAGGCCATGCGTTTAGACTGGAAGAAAGAAGATTTCATCTCAGGCAAAGGAAAGATTTTTTTACTGTAAGAACAATCAGAATGTGGAATTCTCTGCCTGAAGAAGTGGTTTTATCAGAGTCCATACAGATGTTCAATCAGCTACTAGATGCATTCTTGCAAAAACAGAATATTCAAGGATATAATCTTTCAATGTAGGGTAATAACTGCTTAATCCAAGGATAAATCTGACTGCCATTCTGGGGTCAAGAAGGAATTTTTTTCCTAGCTTGTTGCAAAATTGTGCTTCAAACTGGGTTTTTTGCCTTCTTTTGGATCAACAGCAAAAAACAAATGTGAGGAAGGCTGAACTTAATGGACGCAAGTCTCTTTTCAGCTATGTAACTATGTTAAAGGCAGTGAAAATTAAATTTTATCTTCGTAACATTTTAATATTTTTGTTCTGTTCCCCGTATATTACAGATTACTGCTGGTGGTAAAACAAACCTACAATTTGAAGCTATAAATAGATAGATGGGCTACTTTTTATTGCATGAAGTAGGGAACACATAAAGAAATGACTTGTGCAGTGAAGCATACATTTAAGAAATGTTTTAATTTCCCATTATAACATATTCTGAAATAAAATTAGCACGTTTCATAAAAATACTGCAGCCGGGAAGTACTGGTTTTGTTCTGCCACAGTTATACAGCTAGGTGGCGATAGAGTACAAGATAAATCCTATGATGTCGAGGATTGCAATTGTCTAACAGTTCATTGTAAACCAGTGTCTCTGTGTGTCTCTAAATAAAGTGAAGATGGTAAATAGACAGAAAACGAGTCACGCTGTTCTACACGTCTCGATATAGGGGGGAGAAGAGCTGCCTACAAAGGGGGGAATGAAAAAAACAAAACAATGAAGAAATCTGAGACACCTGACTTCCTCTTGTGAGCTCTGCAGTCAGATACCAATATTGCAGACATTGAACGATACAAATTTAGTAGTTTGAGAGATCAGTTGCATGCTGTAAGATTTCTATTAAATGTATTAACCATTTAAGAACCAAGGCATTTTTGAGATGCAACGCGTTTGGGACCAATGACTTTTTTGCACTTTTTCTCTGGCATAGGCAACCTTAGGCACCCCAGATGTTATGAGCTACATCTCCCATAATGCTGGCAAAGCATCAATGGAGATATAATCCACAGCATCTGGGCTACCAAAGATTGCCCATCTCTGCCCTACATGTATACATAATTCCATATTAAATAGAATCAAATAATTAAATTAAATACAAAAAAATATTTATTCATCTCTACATGCCAAGTGCAACTACAGAAAACCAACTCAAAACAGGTTCACTAATTGGGCCTGGTCGTTAAAGTGGCGAATAAGTCTAAAATTCATTCTTAGAAGTTATAAAACAAATATTGCAAGGAGTGAATTATGGTTTTAAAGCTAAAACTTTGCAAAATGTGTCATGCAGAGATTACAACTTTGATAGTATTCACAGAATTCATAACCTTCCAATGCTTTCCTATGTGAAAGCATTGGATTGGCTGAGATCATCATAACTGATGAGCTCAGCTATGGAGGCGGGGCCAGCCGTGGTGAGACCGGTGCAGAGGGGGAGAAAATGTATGAAACCTCACCTTCCCCATGCGATTGGAGAGGGTTGGTCACTTAACTAGTTAAACACTATGATGTCAGGAATACATGTTTGTTAATTAGTGTTCATTTAAAACTAAAATGAATCTCAGGAAGTGAGAATTTACATGGAACAGCACATTCTTGGCACCCTGACCACTTCATCGTGATACATTCAGAGTACTTACAGCAGGGGTGCCCAAAAGGTAGATCCCCAGCTGTTTTAAAACTACAACTTCCATGATGCCTTGCCATTCTAAAGGCATGCAAAGACAAGACACAAAGAATCATGGAAGTTGTAGTTCTACAGCATCTGAGGACACCCCTGGCCTATAATGTTCCTTTAACTTCCAACAGGGAAGAAATACAGAGAGGTGTCTGTGTCTTTTTCTGTGTTTTGTCTTGTCTCTCGTTGTTTGTTTGTTTTATTTTTTCCATATTATTGACTGGTTCAGATAATGTAATCACTTAAATACTACGGTTAGTAGGAACAGACTGACCGCTTATTCTCTCAATGAGTTAAAAAGTTGCACCCAGCTGTTTGTGCACTAATGTGCATTATAGGTTTAAAGGATTAAGGCCAGATTTCT